TTCAAAATATTCGTCGTTTAGTTCGCGATTTTTGAGTAATTCACGGCAACAGCTGGTTATGTGATAGCGAATACCGTTAAAATATGTAAAACAAATATTGAAATCGTTAAAATTACCGCAAAGTTATTTTAGCGATTCAAAAATCTTTAAATTTTTTGTGAATTACACCACAGTGCTTTATATTAAAAAAAAAGATGTTGTTGAAAGAAAAAATATATTTTCACTTACAATATTTTAATAGCACAAATATTTGGAGCTCCCCTCATGTTTACTTACCACAGCACAGCTGTTGTTTCATTGTATTTTATAATATCGTTAATGTGTCTGCTGAAAATTTTGCTCTGGAATTTGTTTACTTTAGAATTAGATTTAGAATTTGAATTTCTTATTTATTCATTATTTTTCTAGTCTTCTATGAAAGCATACATTCCAACGCATGAAAACATGCACACACACACTTGTATATAATTTATTCATTAACTCACCGAATTCACCGAATGCAGAGACCACTTCACTTGCTTATTTATTCATTCATTTATTCATCAACAACATTGTTGGCCAATTTCTGGCTGCTTCCAGCTCTTTTAGAATTTATTTCTGCAGCATTATTTTCCTGCATTCTTAATTTCTATTAAAATCGTGGTTACCAGCAATTCATATTGTACAATATGCACATACAAGATTATCCCTTACGTGGTTTCGGAAATAAGCGTGAGTTAAAGTGTATTTTAAATATATTTTTTTTTTATTTTTCATATAATTTTCTTTTTAAAGGATTTTCAACTTAGCGGTGTGATTTTGATATTCAAAGAAAAATGACATTTTTTGAGCTAAATGATCAAATTTTTATTTCAATGTGAAGAGGAAGATTTGTCTCTAATAATGAAAAACAATATCTGGCAAATGGTCCGCCTGCTGTTATGCTTACAACACCGTAACGTTTTAATGAAATTTTCCATCACCAAATCTCACGTAGTGCCGTCTTGTTGAAAGTAAACATACTACAGAACAATGCAATCGAATTCTAGTCATAAAAAATCATAAATCATCTTTCTCACCGTAGCTGTTGCTCCAGCTTCATATTCGAAAAAAAATAAAGTCTAATGGCAACGCCAGTCCATAAATCGCACCAAAAAATTACACGCTGAGTATGGAGCGGCTTTTCTGAGCCTCAGACGCGACAGTTTTCTTATTGACATCATCATCGAGGTGGTCCATTTCCACCTCTTCAGTTAAGATGAATTTTCGATGAATTTTCGGATCATTTTCATGCATCTCAAGAACCCAATCAGCAAAGACACGACTATGTAATCAAGTTTGTGGATTTTTGAATTCCAGAGAACGACACGGAATGGACAAACCTGAGTTTTCTTCAACACTTGGGGCCATAGCAGTGAGTGAGTGAGTGAGTGTCGTCCACGTGTTTCATTCTTCCCATCACTAACATGACCCAACAACTTCATATGTTTTTACCAAATTCTGTATTGCGGTCCGACGAGGTTTTTCACGACAAACGAAAAATGTATTAGTTTTACGAACCGTCTCTAACAAGTTTTCACCATTTCCATGGCGAATTTTAATAAAATCAGTGCGTTGCTGGCGGAGATTTTACTTGTCAGATGCTAAAAAATTTCGGCTTCCAAAGTGTATATATCACTTATTATTATTGGCAAACTCCTTACTATAAACTTTGAGTCTGAGCATTATACGCAAAACACTACGAGTACATCATTGACTGTCTTGAAGTAATTTTCGGCCATTTTTTGGCACATATTTGACGGTAACTAAGCCATAATCTGATAAATATTGCTTTTCAAGCGCTCAAAAGTTAAAGGTTTCTCCACATTTTTTGCGTAGCCCTACATACAAAATTCCAACGTTGTCAAACAGCACGATCTCGGTTGCCGATTGCAATCGCCAAGGCGCAGGGAGAGATTGTGCGGTCGGGAAATTCTCTCGAATTATAGAAATTACATGTCGTGCAAGTGGTGTTCGGCAAGTGGCGTCGGTTATTATGCGACCGTTGCCGATTTTAAATAAGATGCAATCACACCTCAAGGCCAAGGACGCACAAGAAATACATATATATTTTTTTGTTTTGTTTAATGTCCGCACTTCGCCGTAGTCTAAAAAACGACAAGCGAGGGAGAAATATGCCTCACTGCTGGAGAATTTTTGGTTCGGTGATGTCTCTTAAAATATCTTTAAAATTTCACCAATTGCGTGGGCAGTTTGACACCTGTGTGCTTAGAGCAGAAATCGTGGCCACTTATGGATCACAATTTTTGTAGTTTTAACAAGTTTAAGCGCGTTGTGCGGTTGTTAAGCGTTCCATTTTCATGAGTGCTTGACTTTTTCGTTTTACGAAAGGAAAACTTATTTAGTTTGACAGTTAAGCTGTCAAAAATACAGCCCTGCAGTTGTGAAACCACGAAATGGATTGCCCTATGTATATAATATTATATATGATACAGCTTGTATGTAGCCACATTTGCAGTAAACTCTGTCTAGCACATATAATTCACTGAAATAAAATGAAATTTAATAGAATTTCTTTCGGGCAACAACTGAAAGCCAAACAATTTGCTCTCTCCTCTGTATTTATGTATGTGTGTATATACTCATGAAAGTTAATTGCATAATTCTTAACAAATTGAAAGTTTTGTATTTGTTGAGTAAAGATTTCTATTTATAAATTTTCTATTTTAAATTTACTAGTTTCTTTGTAGTTTCTGTGTAGGTTTTCATTATAGTACCGTTTAGAATTTGCTTTTGTAAAATCAATATACAATATTCCTAGTATTTTTTTAATCAACTTAAGTGATTTTAGTAAGATTTTTTGAAGCAAAAAAAAGCATTTTTTTATTTTGTTACGACAAAAAAAAACTATTTGAAATAAAACTCACGCCAAATTTTACCAAAAAATATTCACTCTTGAGTCCAGTAAGAACTTAAAGCTCAATTGGATGTGAGTACGCCATTCTGGAATACAAGTGATAAGTGGTCGCTTAGTAACGAAGAAGAGTCAAAGTACTTTTGGAAACACCCAAGCCAGATGTTGCACTCAATATGCAATGCAACTAATAATTTTATGTTGGCGAAATCAAACCAGAACAGCCTTGAAACCCATGATGAAAACCCCAACCTTGCAAGCTGCAAATGTGGCGCTGCAATTAGATCAAGAAAAAGTGTCCTTAAGGCATCAAAAATGCCAAAAAAAACTGCCACGTGTTGTAAATACACTGCGTTTTGAACTCTTTATTGTCCTTCTAAACCTAAGTTACTTTCTAAACATGAGCGAAAGAATTTGCAGATAATAATGATATCCAAGCCAGTAAGAGACCACACACACAAGGATACTCTACAGACCATTAAACCAGCTACCCAAACTACTGTCCAAATTATTCGCAAGAACTATACTCTCCAAGATATCTCTTTATCTACAACGTAACAAAGTGTTACCAGAACTCCCGCAACTTTCTTGAGTCTATATTAAACATTATGTACACTGCAGACATTCCACACAGCCACTTATGTCTAGTGCAAAATAATCTTTTTGTTTTGTTGTTTTATATAGGATAATGTCATTATGCTCCTTTCATAGAAACTTTTAGCTCTATTGCCGAAAAATTGGCATAATTGATTTTCACAGGATTGACTTGAGGCCAATTCACTTTCCGGACTACAAGGTGGATGCATAAGAACCACCCAACCAAGTCTTTGAATCTTATGGCGACCCATTATTGTGTATGGTATGGCATTGTCCTGATGAAATAAAATTCCCCACGTGTTGGCCAAAGCTTCCTTTAGAAGGTACTTGCCGATTCTACCAAACACGCTAGAAACCCTTTCGGAGCGTCAATTCTAGCTTGGAGACCATTTGTGCCGGCTTACTGCCCTTCGATCGCGTTCGTTTTCATTTGACGTTACTCCAAGTGATCCAATTTCCATCACCAGTCTCCATCTGTTTCAGAATTGGTTCGACTTTGTAACGATTCGCAGATGGAAATTTGGTCCAAGAGATTTTTCCTCGTTAACTCTTGTGGCTCCCATGCAATACTTTGTGTATCAAGTCTTTTTCAAGTGATTCCACAATATTTTATGTGCAATGATGAGGTGCTGAGCAATCGAAACAACTTTTTTGTTTTTTGGCCTATGGTTTTCCATGAGCTAATACTGTTATATCATTTATACTCTGTTTGACTTTTCATAGTGAACAAGTTTTCTGCGGAACAATGTTTGCCAAGCGTACAAATTTGCCTAACAGAGTCCGTAATTCAAGCAACCATGGATCAGTTCGGAACCACTGAGCGAACCGAAGAGCAGAGTGTGGCAGAAGTCCTGAATGAGTCCATGTCATACAGCCTACGACATAATCAATTTATTGAAGCAGACTTTTCGTGAGCGGGGTGGATTATCCTGCATCATGAGCCTGCGGTATTACCTCCGACATACCTGGTCTACACAGATATGTCCGAGACAATTAATGCCTTGGAAGAGAATATTCGGAGCATTATTGTTGACATACGACACTATTTGCTACATAAAGTGGCCGAAAATGAGGTGTTTTGGCTGGAATTTATACAAACCAGCCGCGGCTTACTTGCCTGAAATCACTTTTAAAACAAACCCTTATATAGATAATAAAGTAAAATTCGTTGCCATGCAGCCCCCATACTAAACTAAACTAAACAACGCTTCGAAGCTAGTTTCCTCATACCGGTTAGCCTTTGCATCGGATGCGTTCGGACTCACTTTGCTATATCAGCGCGATTTTGTATTGATTTCTTTACAACAAATTCCAAAAATTATTTTTTCTTGGCGCTCGGCTTTCAGTGTACACCCTGTGAGCATCCTAAGAACACATAACATAACCTCTAGCAAATGTTCTGCTGATCTCAGCTCAACTGCATGTTCTCAAAAACATTTCTTAAACAAAGCCAATTAAAATGTCTGCACGTTGCTCATTCTCTTTTCTCTCTTTCTCTCTATCTTTACAGTGACTACAGTTGAACCGAATATGTTCACCACATGCATACCTGTGGGCGGTAATTACACACCCGGAGCTGGTGCAGCTACCAGTGGCGCATTCGCTCCCAACTCTATGTCCAACTCATCCAGCGACTCACTCTCCTCCGGTTTTGAAGCAGCCGGTTATGCGGCCTATTCCACCGCACTCAGCGTGACCATCGCCATTGGATGCAGTCTACTTATACTCAATGTACTTATTTTTGCCGGAGTTTACTATCAACGCGACAAGACGCGGCTGGAGGTGAAGACATTGCAGAAACAATATCAACAACGCAGTATGCATCAGCAAGTTCCCTACCCACCCGATCCCATCAAGCATGCCCACTATCATTTGGGTCATTCGCAGAGTGCCAATGTGATTGTGGATGTGGAGAATCATGGTGGAGACCAGGGGGCTATGTTATTGGCGGCAGCGGCAGCAGCTTCGGATGTGAAGCCACCACCGCCGCATATTTGCGCAAATACAGGCATGCAGCTAAGTGCTACGGTACAACAACAACAACAGCAGCAGCAGCAGCAGCACCAGCAACAACAGCAACAAGGTGGTGGTAGTAGTATTGACCTCTGCGGCATGTCCACGGCTGCAAAGCAACAGCAACAGCAGCAGCACCAACAGGTTGGTGGTTCAATTATGGTCAGCGGGTCACCGGACGTATCCGCTGGACTAATGGGCGGCGGCGGTGGCTGCAACGTGACTTATAGCACAACAACTAAACAACAGCAACAGCAGCACCAACAACAACAACAACAACAACAACAGCATTTACAGCAACAGCAGCAACAACAACAACAACGTGAGCATATGCAAATTAAAGGCATGAACTCACAACAATTTGCACGCATCGCCACGAGCAGCAGTGGTGGAGGTGGCGGCGGGAGTGTAACCATGACCAGCAATCTCGCCTATAATCCCGGTATGATGACGCTACCCAAGGCGGGCACATTGCATCACACAAGCTCCATAAACTACGGACGTAATCCAGGCGGTGGAGGTGGCGGAGGCAGTTCCGTCAGTGGAGGCGGCAGCATAACAGCTGCGCTGCTCGACTCACGCGGCAATTTATTGCTAACCAGTGGCGGTGGTGTAGCTATGGGCGATTGCATGACTTTACCCAGAAATCTGGCAGCCTCGGCCGCACGGCACAGTGCACTGGCAGGTGAGTGCTTTTATGAACATACTTTCGCATGCAACACTAAATGGAAATGAAAATGAATGACGGAAAGTGTGACTCGGGTGGAAAGTACAACATATGATATGTGCGTGGTCTTAGTCAGACTTGGCTGTTAGTTGCAGGTGACATGCAAAAATATTTATGACAAGAATTTTAACGATAGCGGGGGAGAAGGTAAAAACGGGAGGCGATAGGGAGACTCTGTTTTTAGTAAAAATCTCTCTCTTTCTCCGCTTGCAAAGTATACAACTGTCGGTTAAAGCTAAACCACAAAAGCAACACCTCTCCGATTCTAGAAGTTTTCGAAATTAAATTTTGAACCACATATAAGTGAAAATCTACGCCATTCAACTGACCGCCTTGCAAATATTTACAAATTCGATCCATTTGAATTGATTTTGGACAACTTTTGGGCACATATTGGGCAACATCTCAATATCTCAGCCATAACTTGACGAAAGTTGATTTTCAAGGTTTATTCGCATAAGCACGATCTCGGTAGCCAGCTGACATCGGCATGACGAGAGATTACGCGGCCGGGAAATTTCAACCACAATAAGACCATATTTTTCGAGTAGTGTAGTATGTGGCACCATCTGGCTTAAACCACATATTGGCCAAGTCGCGTTCTTCAACTGCTGGCCAAACCAAGTCGGTTATCATAAAACCATAACGATCCGAATCGACGATGATAGTCTCCTTGTACTCGTTTTCAAAGACGTTAAATCACACTTCCAGATCGAATAGCATTATTTTTGGGTGCAATGGCCACTCTTCGATTACTCAAAGATTCTCGGAGCACCAAATTCGAGTATTTCCCAAAAGTCCAATTGCAAAATATGCCATAATGTGGCGTTAGAAAATTCCAGCTCCAGGGAACGTCAAGAAATAGACAAGTTCGGGTCTTTGGCTACACTTTCTTTTGCAGCAGTGAAATTTTACTTCATTCAGTTTCTTCGAATTCTTTTTATATTTAACCAATTTCTTGAGTAGTTGGACCAATATAAGAACCATAATCTCATCTTAAATCACGCAAAATTTGAATCACCATTCGTTTAGTTGGTTTCATTAATTTCAACGCCTTGTGCGGTTGTTAGCCGATCCATTTTCGTAAATACCAAACTTTTAACTAAAAGAAAACATGTTTGGTTTGAGTGCTAGGTTTTACAGATGTCATCATACTTTTGAGACTACAAAACGGATAATCCTAAACAAAGTTGCCGCTATATAACCGCTGAAGCCACTATTTTATTAAACAACAAAAAAAAAACAACTGGGAATTTTTCAAAAGCTAAGATACAACCAATTCTGACCAAGGTCTTTCAGACGCTCAATCTTAATAACGTTCTCACCCTACAAGATATGGGTTCAAATCAGACGAATATTGAGAACTTTTCCTTCAGTGAGATCATACACACCTTTGTATTCCATCCTTTCAGAAATCAAGCATCATACGACGTGTGCTCAAAAAATATCGCGAACTTTGTGTTTTTTCAAAAATTATTTATTTATTCATGAATATCTATTTTGTCTCCTTCAAAGTAATCCCAATGAGAAATTATACACTTGTGCCAATGGTTTTTCCAATCTTCGAAGCACTTAAAAATTTTATCTTGTTCAGCTCCTCTTTCGATGCCGTCTTTATCTTGTCAATCGTAGCGCAACGTCGTCCTTTCATGGGCCTCTTCAGTTTAGGGAACAAGAAAAAGCCACAGGGGGCCAGATCTGAGGAATACGGTGGCTGCGGCATCATTAGTGTGCTGTTTTTGGCCAAAAAGTCGCGCACAGACAACGATGAGTGAGCAGGGGCGTTATCGTGTTGCAAAAGCCAATTTTTGTTGTTCCACAAATCCGGGCGTTTCTGGCGGATTGCTTCGAACAAATTGCGCATAACTTACAGGTAATATTCCTTATTGACCGTTCTACCCTGTGGCAGGAACTCATGATGCACGACGCCACTCCAATTAATTTTTTCGTCTGTTGTTGAAGTGCTCTTCGTCGTTCACATCTTTTTGGCCTTCTGAGAACATTTTGTACCACCGATAAACGTTGCTTCGGTACAAGGTAGCTTCTCCGTAAACCAAAGTCAACATTTGGAATGGATCCGCGCACTTAATTTCGTTTTTCACACAAAATTTGATACAGGTTCTTTGATCCATTTTTTTTTGAATAGGTAAAAATCGAAGACCATCCAAAACACGTGCAAGCAAAGCAGCTGAACTTGTCGGCATAAGTGACAGACATGAGTACCAACATAACGCCACAAAAAAATCGAAATCCGATTATACGTAACCCGCGAAAATTCAAAATTCGCGATACTTCCTGAACACACCTCGTATTTGGCTTCTTATATGGCCGCCTGCATTTTGCTACTTTCATTGAGAACATAAATTTTTTATCACAAAAAATCCTAAACTTATCGAAAATACATATTTAAAAAGAACTAATGAGAAAGTTAGAAACTTCAAAAATTCGATAAATTCTGAACTGTAAATATGATCAAAAAAATAACATTTTCTAAATTTTATACGATTTTAGGATCAATAAAATAAGTTAAATCTAAGACAAAAAATAGTAATCATAATGACGGAGCACCAAATTTTGACAAAAAAACGAAGTGGTGGAGAAATCTGAGAAGAGAGTTGTTGATACTGCTTCATACCAGCGATCCTAAACATCAATTTTTTTTTACTTACGTCGCTGCAATGATTGTCTGGCGCTGGATGGAAATAATATCGCTGATAAAACTCAAATTTGTGCAAAAAACTTCTTTTCTTCGTTAGTCCCGAGACGTGAAATAATTACTTTTCATTGCAGACATTTCTTGTAAAACAGCAATTTAAATATTGCTTATAGGAATTTTTTAATTATACAAAACTTCTCAACTCAAAACTGCTGTCTCCCTCCCCCGCTCCACCGCTCCATTAACAGAGTGTCATTTTAATCTTCAATGCATCCTAACGACCTATTAAAAGCTAATCAATCAGCACTGAATATACTATATTTATTCATTATAAAGAAGCCAGAATTAATGTGCAACCAATAAAGCACAAAAATAAAAATGAAATTAAAAATAAAAATAAAAATAAAAACCCATCGGAAAGTCATAAAAAATTCAAGATCGTAAAAAATGAATTTAATGCGACGCATCAGCGGATAAGCTGAACGCTGTCAATAGATCGTAAATGCCATCACTTTGTTGGAAAATAGAAAAATTTAAAAAAAAACAACAACAACAGCAACCATCAAATGAAGCAAGCGACAGCGTTTAGTGTTTAATTTGATGAATGAAAGCGCATTTAAATGCTCAAATGCGAAATAAAGCGCATATTGCCTGGGCGTGGCAAGCATTGTTGTAATTTCACTTATCAATAGCAGTAAATCGAAGTTGTGTAATAGACGATTTTCTGTAAATTAAATCAACGTACAAACGGATGTTAAAGCAATAAAATAAATGCAATTTTCTATTGTCAACTTAAGCTCTTGTTCTCCGCCACCTACAATACGCCCAGCCATTTACCATTCACCACTGCTTCACATACAGCTTTTTCTTGTCACCCTGCAGGTGAGAATACTAGTTGGTGGCTAAAATGTTACTAGTGTTTGTTCTTATTCCAAATTGTTCCTCGTTCAACATTTATCCAGATTTCTTTCATCAACTTTTCCTTTCTTCTTGGTAATGTTAGTTGCCTAACCATAGCATACATCAGCAGCACACTAGTAAAATACTAGTTCAGTAATGTTTGTTCAGAAAAAAGCATGCGACAAATTATTAATTCCATCATAGTCGCCAGGAAATACCAAGCACAACCAGATCCTTCTTTACCTAGTCGTTGCAACTGATCTCCAGATCCTCCTCTTCCACTGCTTCCACCGGCAGATAGTTTATCGAAAACTTTTAAGGTTGAAGTATTTTTATTCATATGAAGACTTGACCGAACCAGCTAGGCCGATGTTCCTTTACTCCGTATATCGCTTATATATGTATATTTCCCACAACTCATCCCTGTGATTTTCCCATTCCCAACTCGTAGAGTATCATAACCATTCACTGGGATACTCTTAACTTCCAATCATCAGATTTTAGCATCGCTCATGCCACCGTACCATATAGCAGGACGGGTACGAAGAGCGCCTTAAAGAGCTTCGTCGTTGTTCGCCGAGAGAGCAATTTACTTCTCAATTGCCCACTCACTTATAGAAGTTTGGACTTTCCCTATTCAGCTCCACAACTCGTATTATTTTGCCAGCAATAAATTAAAGAGGCTTATGGGGCTTCATTCCGATCTTAATGAAGGTCTTAATGTACTTAACTTTAGCTTACATAGTCGCATAAGTTTTGCGGGGATTTCGAATTCAGAAGAAGAAGCTCTTTTTGTGTTGTCGAAAGGTGCTTGAAAATCGACGCTGAGGAGCGAGTGTATCGATTTTTTCCCACGGTTCTTTTCTAAGACTTGGCGCCTGGTGAATATCTAGTCAATGGTTGATTAACCATGTCAAACACACTGAGAGAGTCCAAATAAATTGTATACGGTCGACTTTGGTCTTTCGCACGATGCGCTCTATGGAATATTATATGCGATGATAATAAGTCTTATTGGATTGGGCAGAGCACACTTAGATTATAATCCTCGAGTAAGTTTTCGTCTGACCACATTTTGCAAAAAAGCTGATGCACAAACCTTATCAGTTCCTTCCCGCCGCATTGGAATAGCTCGTTCGGCTGCAGACGCTATGTAGCTTTTAAAGCGGACTATTGCTATTCGAACTTCTTCATAGTCAAGCAGTGAAACATTTTTTTTTCATCGTCATCGATTGGGGAATCGGGCTCGCCATCTACTGGTGTTGCACTTTCACTACCATTCAGCAGGTTTGAGGATGGTTCCTTCCATAAATTCAGTATATGTACTCAGGGCATCAGCTACTCACCTCTTTGTGTTCATCAAGCATCTTTTAATTACCTTCCCTGACCTCCACTTGGTAAA